TGTACCTTTCCACACAACCGTCAAATTTGGTTTTGGTCTTATAAACCCACTTACACCTTATGGTGCGTTTGCAAGGGGGGTAAAGACATTAACTCCCAAGTTTGAGTCTTATGTGAGGCATATAACTCCACATCTATTGTTTGTTGCCAAAGAGGATCAAATATACCCTCTTTATTGGAGGCGGGTTCAAACAAAGAAAGAGTGGAAGTGAGAAATGAACAAAAAATCAAAAGAATAGCAAGAGTTGAAGAAATCAAGCCTATCTGGATATTCAAAACTGATTGAGTGATAGGAAGAGCAAGGGGAGGCATCGTATTAGTAAAAGAGACGACAAAGTCCTACGAGCATAAATATGCACAATAGGAGGACGGGTGACCGATAAATCATAAGAGGAAGTCACATCAAAGACGGTTATATCACAAACATAATTGTCAATGGGAACATCAACTAGAAAATGATTAATGTAGATGAGATCAGATTTATGCAAATGTAAAGTACGAGATGGAATAGAAAAAAAAAAGGAAATATGCTCCATAAAAAGATGATGAGAAACATTGAGTTTATGTATAATAGAATCATAGAAACGATATCCTTTCTAACCCTCACCATAAACAAGAAAAGACTGAGTGAAATAAGTAAAAAATTTAGTATGAAGAGCACTAGGCAGTAAGACAAAGCAGGCACATCCAAATACATGTAAGGAAAAATAATTAGTTGGCTTACCACACAATTTTCAAAGGAAAAGATTCCAGAAGCGAGGACAAAGGAAATACAATTAATCAAATGAACCGCAATAAGAACTTATTCCCCCCAAAAAGAACTTGGAACAATGGAAAAAAATAAGAGAGAGCGTGTTGTCTCCATAATGTGTCAATGTTCGCGTTGCGCTACACCATTTTATTCACATGTGTCAATATAAGATGATTGATAAATAGTGTCATAAGATTTTACGGGATCCCGAAAGGAATTAAAGGAGTCTTATTCTCCTCCTTGATCACAACAAAAGCATGTTACGACAGATGAATATTGAACGTGTATCATGGCATAAAAAACAGTGAATCTAAAAAAAGAATTCAAAATGATGTTTCATTAGATATACTCAACAGTACCTAATATAATCATCAATGAAGGAGACATAATATCTAGACTCTGCTTTTGTGGGAATATGAGCATATCCCTATACATCATAATGAACAAGCTCAAATAGTGCAAGAGAGCAAGTAAGACTTTTTAGTAAATGGTAATGTAATAAACTTAGCTAACTTGCATCCGCTACAACTAGAAATATCATGACACTCTAAACTACCCAAACTACTAGTAAAGACCAAGTACTTTGTTAAAGTATATAGGAGAATGGTAGACTTGTAAAAAGATATCCCTTATGGGGTATATATTAGTTTTGTACTTGTTTTTACAAATATACATATATACAGGGATGAGAGTGGGCAGAGGCACGTTTTCTGCCTTCACATTCTCCTTCTCTATAAACCCTAATTCTATCACGTTATCAGAGCAGCCCTAATATTCTCTTCTTTTCTTCTCTGGTCTTCCATATTTTCTTCATCTTTCTTTTCTTGTTTTTTTTTCCTTTCTACATGTGTGTGAGGAATGAGGATCTTCTGACTCAGATCTCTCAAAGCTTCAGATCTGTTGGAGAGTAGTTGCTGGCTAGGTGTTAAAATCTTCCTAGCCTAGTTACTGTTCGTTGTTGGCTTGGTGGGCCATTGAAGATTTGTGTGTTGATGTTATGCACCGTTGTTTGCAACCCATTGTGATCGAATCTTTTCGATTGCAATCTAGTTTTGTCGATTTCTTGTTGGGTCCAATCGATTGTTGTTGGTTGGGATTGAGTTGCGGCATTGTGGATTAAAATCGTTTCTATTGTGTCACGGTTGCCGATGGCAAAGTTGGTGGTCGCAATTTGAACCAGTGAAGAAGACGGTGGTCTTTGGCTATAGGAGTTGTTAGTGGTATCCTTGTTTAGCGTGTTCCTTAGTGGATATCTTATCTCAATTTGTGTGTTTTGGGTTTAATTGAGTAAAGCCCAATAAGGTTGGCCCAATTCTATTTAAAGAAGTTCAGTCTAGGACCAGTCCCAATCAGCCCAATACACTTGATTCAGGCCCCAAGGTACATAGATCAGTCCGGTTCAGTCAAACCGGTTCATACAGTCCAGTTTAGGCCGGTTCAGCTCAAACCAGGCCCCAGCAGACTTATCATGGTCCGGTTCAGGCTTCCTGGTCCACTTTCTGGCCCAGTTCAGCTTTCCTGGTACAATTTCTGGTCCAGTTCAGCCTTCCTGGTACATTTTTTGGTCTGGTTCAGCCTTCCTGGCACGTTTTCTGGTCTGGTTCAGGCCTCCTGGTACATTGTCTGGTCCGGTTCAGGCTTCCTGGTACATTTTCTGGTTCGGATCAGGCTTCTTTGCCCATTTTCTGGTCTGGTTCGGGCCTCCTGGTCCAATTTTTGGTTCTGTTCAGACTTCTTCAGGCCTGATCTGTATTGGTTTCTACTTTTCCAGCACTGGTTCCTTCAGACTTGCCCCTCCATCTTACAAATTTGCAGCAGTTCAGCAGTTTCAAGAACATAATTACCTTGGGTTGACATATATATCTTGTATATATCTTGTAGGCATGGACTCTAAGGCAGACCCTCCATGCCTTCCCCATTTCCTCAGCTTAGTTGAGGTCTTTCTTAAGGGTAAGGGGCTTTATAAGCTTTTGGTGAAAGATAAACCCAAGGACAGTGATCTAGGTTTTGCCCAATGGGAGCATGGAGATATGCAGATTATTGCACTCATGTTGGGTAGTATTGAACCTCACATAAGTTCTAACATAATTTATCCAGCCATTGCGAAGGAAAACTCAGATCGATTGAACCCTACACTAGTCGATGCCTTATCTGATCTAGGTTGGAAGCAGGCCATGAAGGACAAGATGGACGCCCACCATCACAATCAAACTTGGGATCTTGTCTCATTACCACCTGGTAAATAGACTTAGGGTGTCGTAGGATATATACCATTAAATTTCATCCGAATGGGTCCGAGAACCAAGTCAAAGCATAATCAGAAATATGGTGTTGATTATGTGGAGACCTTCTCCCCACTTGCTAAGATCTTTTATATCCGGGTTTTGATTTCTTTTGCTGCTACTCTTGACTAACTCTTGTTTCAATACAATTGTTGCATTGTCGGTTCCATACCAAGGATCTAGACAAACTAAGATATTTTTTGGTATTAAAGTTGTCAGATTTAAATAGGAATTAATCATAAACTTTCAGTGACTACTAGGGAATGCTTCTCTGATCCGGGATAGTATCGACGTTTGGTTAGAAAGTTGAATTATCTCACTATTATCTGACCAGATATCTCATATGTTGTGAGTGCAGTAAGTTGGAAGCTACTCCCTAAGAACCGCATTAGGATGTTGTTATTCACATTCTTCGATATCTCAAGGAAGCTCAGTACTTGGATTGTTGTATAAATCACATGGGCATCTTCGATTGGAAAGGTTCACAAATGCAGATTGGACACGTCCTCCCTTAGATAGATGTTCTACTTCAGGCTATTGCAACTTTTTGAGAGGTAACCTGATCACATAGAAAAGTAAAAAACAAACAACAGTTGCATAATCTAGTGCAAAAATAGAGTATAGGATAGTAGCTCACACATGTAGTGAGTTAACTTGGCTACAACACTTCTTTCAAGAAATTGGTTTTTCAGTTCAAACTCCACTTCAATTGTTTTGTAATAATCAAGTTATTCATATAGCTTCTAATCCTGTGTTTCATGAACGAACGAAACACATTTGAGGTTTATTGTCGGTGTTGAGTGGAGATATCGTCACACCATTTGTTAGATCTGAGAATCAACTTGCTGACATACTTACAAAGTCCTAGAGTAGTACTCGGCCGAGAGATATTTATTCCAAACTGGGATTATATGACATATATACACCAGCTTGAGGGGGAATGCCAGGGTATATAAACCCTCCCTAATTCCCTAATTCTATCACATACTTCAAACAAGAATTAGCAACATAACCAAACCGTAGCACAAGTAAAAACTAAAAGATTGTAGACTCAAATGAAAATATCACAAATTAAATGGAGAAGTTGCATATTTGGAACATGTAGCTCGTCCAACACATATAGCCCTTCCTATTTACCGCCTATCCCAATCAGTTTATTGGAACACGGACCTTGCACAATACAACCAAAAGAAGAAAGTTGAACAGAAACTCCAGAATCAAATAGCTGACAGGCTACAATCAAATTCAAAGTAAATTGAGGGGTATAATAGACATCTAGAAGTGCAAGGTGAGGAGAAATAATGGCAGTAACACCAACCAAAACATGAGTACTATTCGCTACAAGTATAGATATGATGTGTAGCACCTAAATCAAAGACCCAAGTAGTTCAAGGATAGCCGAAGGACCCAAAGTGAATGAATTTACTGAAAGGGAGAATGAGAGACTATTAGGCTGCTCGAGTGAGAGAAGTCTTTGCAACTGACCAACAATCATAGACAAGCTGGGAGTTGATGTCTCACGTGTGGCCTGAAGAGAAGCAAAATTTCCATTTGCCATAATTGTAACAATGAGAGCCAAATAACAACAATCAAAGAACCAACGAAAGTTGAGAGGCTAGGCAGCAGCCACCAAGAAATCAGCAGAACTCACAAAACCAGCAGGAATCAAATTAAACAAATCCAAGAAGAGAACATCATAAAGCCAAGAACACTTAACCAACAGTGAGGAATCAAGTATTTGTTGGTACAAATCTGCTCCAGATACTTCAAAAAGAAACTACTGGCAGCAAGAAAATAGCCCAAAGCAAAGCCCGATGCAAACTGTGTGCAGCAATAGCCCAATGAAAAGGCCCCAAAACCAAAGCAAATTGTTGGCAGCAGAAATAACCCAATTCAAACTGTGGGCAGCAAGAGAATAGCCCAATGCAAACCCCACACTCCAAAGCAACACCCAGCACAACTTACTGCCTAATAAAGCCCAACCACAAAAACGGCAGCACGAACCAAGGCCCAACAAAAGGAACAAGGCTCAGCAGCCATATAGATAAACCTAGAAATCATGTCCAATGGCCAAAAGTTAAACATAAACCCCCAAGCAAACAGTAGTTGTGAAGGTTTCCTACAATCTCTCTCCAGATGTTAGCTTGAGTGGAATCTCCTATAACTGACAAAAAGGAAGGTACAGATTAAAGTCCTGCTAGGACAAGGATGTGTGCATAGTACTTATCAGTTACAAAGTGCCCCACAACAAAAAAAAGTTGTTCTGAGTTCTAACACAATAGAACACCTCGAAACTTTGAAATAACAATGCACGTTATTTTGCGGTATAGGGAATACCTTAACCAAATGTCATTATTCCAAAAGATATACCCAAAAAAAAATCAAAAGGAAGAATGAAAAAGCTCCCCATAAAGTGCACATGAACAAATGAAGAAGTAAAACAGGCATACATGTAATTCATCTCTAATTTTTAAAATTAGAAAATAAAAGGAAAGAAAACAAGCATCTAATTATCACTAAGCTGAAAATATTAATGTGGAGGGGTTTAACGTTAATGCAGCCTTCTGGATATATATATCTGTACCAAAAGAACATAATTCATTTTATTAAAAGGAAAAATGAGAATTTAACCACAATGGGGGAAGAGAAACATATTTTAGAGTAAATTTTTCCAAACTCACGTACTTGTATGCAGGAATCCAGACATCTGGGTTGTTGGATGTGGTGAACAAAACAAACATCTGATATATTGTGGAACCATATGAAGTAAATATCGTCTTCCCCTGTTGGGTATCTTCGAATATCACATATCCTAACCAACTGGAGAACAAAAGAAATAAAAGCCAAAGAGCCTGCATGTAAAAAAAAAAAACAAACAACTTTAAGTCACCATTAGAGCCCATCGTGTAATCTGACTGGTAGGACCCAAGTATGCAAACGAATTGCATTTTGATACAAAACAAGTACTCTGAAAACAACTTGTCATCATATGACATTGCAAATTTACAAGCTAAACACAGCAAGCAGATAATAAACAAATAAACAAAGGGACATAATGGCAGACAAACCAAGACATTAATGTAGGTGCCAAGCATTCCAGCCAGTATGACGACGCACTCTCGTAATTCCCTAAGGTAAAGAAAACAAAATAGATGGTCACTTTCATCATGCCAGATAAACAAGTTCGTGCATCAAGAAAAATGACAGTGCATGATATCAATGTGAGTCATGATAATCAGCTGTGAAGTCTAATGTTTTCAATGCCAAAAACACTCAGTTCCACACTAGCAATGGTTCAAGGGAAGTAAATCAATCATTTTCCTATTCGACAACATACAATCAACGACCTCATATAGTATTTTGGCACCCACCACATCTACTAGGTGGAACCGTCAAAGGAAGAAACCATTTGGCCGTTGACAACTCAAACAAAGCCTCCAGACATGTACAATTTAATCAGTTTAAGAGTACAGCTCGAGACTGAGAGATGATAATAATTTAAAAATGAAATTTACTATTAGTTTCTTTAGTGAAATAGCTTAAACCAATCAAAAGGTCTATTGTAATTTTATCAAGGCATACCTGCAAGTGCCAATACAGACGCAAAACAATTAAATAAACTAAATTACCTTCTTATAAAATCTGAATACAGTATTTATCTATTTTTTATTATAGGAATCCCAAAAAATGGCAGCTGTGCTTGAGTTAGAAAAGGTACAGTTAAACTATTTCTTCCTCCAGGATGTTTGCGCAATCAATTTTTGCTCAAATCTTCAATAACAAAAATGCCTTTAGCAGATTTGTATTCCATAAATGGTATCTTTCTTTAGGGGTCTAAACCAATTTATAATATGGGATTAATCCAAACTATATGGCAAATTATTCATTTTGATTTCACAGCTAGAGAATAAGTTAATAGAATATTAATACTAAAAGAAAGTCTAGAATGTTAAACAAAATGGAATCTCCATCCAAAAAAAATTGGCAAAGAATTCAGCTTCTCTTTGTACTCTTAGGCTTTTGAGAAGTTAAAGGTGTGCCTTTGGCCATGATTCTGAGCAACTGTGTTGCTGAACATTTTTTAGTAGGCAATTGAAAAACTTCCAATGATTGGATCTCCTTTAAAAAGAAAGTGGAGAACTACTTTGATAAGTGTTTTCTAGTTGATTTGGAACCATTACAAACCAGGCTCTGCTCAACCCACTAGACATTGCACTTTGGGGCTTAGTGAACATGAATCATCCATTATTTGCAATAAGATGCTTGAAAGGAGTAAAACTTTGCTCAGCACCATCTAGGGACAGGAATAAGTTTTGTATATGGTAATTCCATATGTTTCTTATTATAACATTGGTGAAGTAGTAAAGAGCTATCAATCACTTCTACTGCAATGTTTTTTAACATAGCTAGAAGAATTTGGATACAAAAGATGCTTTTAAAAGAGAGAAATATCCCCGAAGTCTATGAGTTTATACAAAATCACCAAGGTAGTATAACTTTTGTTGATCAATATACCATGAGCTTATAGGGAATCACCAAGGTAATATAACTTTATAGCACCTCAAGGAAACATCACGAATCAAGTCAATATAATCTCCTCACTAAACTCATTGAAGTCCTAAAGAAACATCCAGCAAAGTTTAATGTGTCTGTCTACATTTCTGTTGGGATTTGTACTTGATGTAAATCCATTGAAACGAGATATTAGCAGCCTAGCAGGTGATGGGAGTATTCCTAATACTACTATTTTTTATACATGCTTTATCTAAGATTCTGCTTTTTTTTTTGGGGTGGGGGGGAGAGAGAAGAGGAAATTTTCATAGAACGGGGACACACAACAGTCATGAAAGATTTCTTTTAGATTTACGTTCTTTAGTCTTTTATGGAAAAGTGAATGCTTCTTTTAAATATACCAGCTAGTTGTCCAGGTTCTCTAAAGCCCCTGATAATAAGGGTCACCGGATCTTATGGTGCTGTTAGGGATCGTCATAATGCAGTTGATGGTGGTAAAGAATGTAGTTAATGCAAAACACTCAAACCTCTGGCTTGACTACTGTAAGACCATCTTGTAAACGACATACTTTAATTTTGTCTGAACTTTATCAAATTACTAGTCATTAAAGAGCAGAATCATTTTCAGATTGATTGGAGATATTATCTTTCACATTGAGAAAGGATTGTACATGGAGCAACCTTTCAGCTATTTTGTTTATAGAGACACAAAAAGCATGTAGGCTGAAGAAGCTTATTTCTGGGCATATTCATGTGTGGCGATGCATGTCAATGGTGGGTGCATGTGTCTCAGAATGAGTGCAATTGTGAAGTGTTTGTCCGTGTGTCAAACAAAGAGAAAGAGGAAAGAGAAATGAGGAAAAACATATGTTAACGATAATAAGAAAGAATTAGGTTTCAATCTTGAAGTCTGTCTTCTTCAATGGATAAGATATTCAAAGAGCTTGATTGCGAGAGGGAGAGAGAGAGGATATCGGATGAACAAGGAATGGAGGAGAAAAGGGAAAAGGGGAGAAATTGATAAGCTTGGACTGCCACGGTTTACTCATCCACAGCGCTGAGAAGAACTCTACTCTTTGTAATGGTTTCAATTGAGAATTGGGTGTGTGAAATTAATCATGATATTCTGCATCTTTATACTTATGTTGATTATACTATGATTAAGCCAACAACGAATTTCAATAGTGTGAAGAGAGCTATCTTACATCAAAAAATTAAGTAGACCCAAGTTTAATTTATATACTTGAGTGGTTACTTTACCCATTGTCAATTAATTTTGGGTTGAATGCACTAACATGGTACCAGAGTTGGACTTTGGATGGCTAGTGGCCCAAGTCTCTCAACCAGTTAAATATATGTTTGTCTATTTGTTTTGGTCAAACTCCATTCTCTATTTGTTTCAATTCAGTTTGTTAGACCACATGAAGGAGGGTGCAAAGCAAGCTATCCCACATTGAAAAATCAAGTAACCCCAATGTTGATTTATATACTTGAGGGAGTGAGTAGGTCTGTCTTTCTCTCTCTGGATCCCGCTCGCCAGCGGGCCGACTATTTGTTGTTTTTTCATTATGCTTTCCTATTTCACATGGTACTTTTGATCAAAAAATCAATCTTATTTATTTCGTACCTTTCGCTTAATGAGAAAATGGGTCACTCTTACCCATTTGTAATTGGTCTTGGGTTTGATGCTTAAACAAATTAATTGTGTTCCCAGCTAAATGCCATGGAATTGATTGGACTTGTACAAAATGAGCCCACCCATTGTCCGATACGATAAGACTCGAGTTTGACCGCTAAAATAACTGAGGCGAGGTGAAGTGAGATTGAATGTCACTAGTCATATTATTGGGATGGGTCTGGTTTGAGGTTGTACGCGTGTCATTGAAATGTTGAACATTCTTTATTTGGCTCTTGTGCTGCAATTGTTTTAATTGTTATTTGACTGCATTTTCATAAGTTTGATTATTATGTGGACCATTTGTACTCCTATCACATTGGGGACAATTGCGATTTGTGGGCTATCCATCACGCCCCATTTATCTCTTAGATGCAAGAATTGATTTTGGTGAAAAGATCATGTTGAAATATTAAAGAACCAAAGATTTTTTATTATCTATAGCTTTTTTGTGCAAACTCATGATATTTGAAGGTTATAAATTAATTACTAAAAGATTTATTATGTTTAATTTCTGGTCGTATTCTCTAAAATTTATACATGGATATAAAAATTGTCCTAATTTCACCAAATGATGCTTCTGGAAATCAGGGCATCGTATCAATCTCCAAAGGACTGTTTTGACAAATTCAACATCATACTTATGGGGCTTGTTTGAATGGATTTTTGGGGATGATTTGAATTGACTTTCTCAAACCGTTCCAAATCCAAACTCCTCTTTACAAAGATGGGATTCAACATTGAATCCAGTTCATACCATGTTTAGTATACAGCATATACACATGTAAGTCTCACGGATATATTATAATTATTAATAACTATTTATCTTATAAATGACTATTTTACCCCATGATCAATCCAATTAATACCCATGTTAAGGGTACAATTGTCTTTTACATCCTTAATCCCTGAACCCATCTTCCCAAACCCATCCACCCCCTAGGTTTGACGAAATCCATGATCATGGGTTTAATATACGAGCCAGCTACGGACCGGGTTTGAAAACCTAGGATTAAATTTGTAATCCAAACATGAGGTTTTAGGGTCCTTTGGACTATGTTCCCCAAACCCATCTTGCCAAGGCCCCCCATGCCCCCTTACCAAACAGCCCCATGGAGTATTGGATGAAGAAAATGGTGTCATAGTGGTCCATGCTACTATTGTTAACATCATCGCCCATATACTTTTGCTCTATTCATAGGACTAGTAGGGAATTATAGAAACACCCTTGAGGTTACGTAACCATCAATATGTGGCCAGTGCAGTATATTACCAAGGACACCTTGTCAAAGATTGTCTACATAGACGAGGTGTTGTCAATTTTAATATTTTACATTTTGTGATTTTGAAAAAATTGGCCAAAATAAAATGAACTAAAAATATACAGAAGTGTAGGTGATGACTACCAGGGCCAAAGCTTGTCGGCCCCTGTCCCTTCGAGACTACCCAACTTCTCCCCCAATACTATCAAGTATAGAGTATAGGAAGAAGACATGGCATCAGAATGGTCAATCTCATTAATCAACATCATTGAATCATTTCCTATCAAACTTTGCACCATTAACATTAGCAAAAGTTCTAAAACACCACTTGAGGTTAACCAACAGACTTTCTCCTTTGTTTTCAAATATTACATAAAAAACGCTATTAGAAGTGCAAGTGGTGAGTGCATTGTTTAGGGGGTTCTGTAGGGTGAGGCCAATAAAAGGGAATCAAACAATTTCCTAGGGTAGCACAACCACCCCCTTCGCCACACCCAAAGGTCAAACCCGACCCAAATCTCCACTTTCCTCCTCTCTCACACACACACCTATACACTTGCACATAACACAAGCAAACACGTAAAGACACAAACGGACAATGATTTTGCGTTGATTTATGTTGTGCTGATGTATTGGTGGCACTAATGATTCAAGGTTCAATGATATTTTGGTATGTATTTAAAGTGGTGGAGTTTTGTAGGTGGCTATTTGGTTCAGGTGATGGTTCAGTGTTGAGAAAAAAGGGAAGGGAGGAAGGGTTGTAGGGTTGTCCTTTTTCTAATTCTCTTTGTATAGTATTCATAATTTTATATTTTGATGAAATATGGTAAAAAAATATTAATAAATCTATCGTAGTAGTATGTGTCAAGTAAAGAAGTTCATATATGTTGGGTGCTACTATACTTATTATTTACGTGGAGATATTGCGACGTTTGTTAAACTGGTGATCAACTTAGCAATATTCTTACCAAATCATTGACATAGTCCACCTTTAGTAGCCTTTGTTCCACGCTAGGTATTTTTTATCTCGATGCTCCAGCTGTAGGAGCAGTGTTAGAGTATACTTTCCTATTGTTATATTTTCCTCTTATGTTACTTTCTTATTGATCTATAGGAGCAATGTTATAGTATACTTTCCTATTGTTATATTTTTCTCTTATGTTTCTTATTATGTTTGACTTTCCTAATATTATAATTGTCTTCAATATCAATCCGATGCAAATAGGTTAGAGAGTATAGGCAATTCACATCCTACACACAATATTATTTCAAAAAATCGTTCCTCATGTCTTCTTCTTCTTTCCTTTCTTTCCTAAACCCTCATATATATTAATTATTCAAGTTTCAACTTGGTATCACAGAAAGTGGGGCCCATCCGTAGCCAAGAGCCTCACTCACCTATGGTTAGGTCAACTTTATACATATCAAGTTGTAGTCATCTCAGTGTTTGTCAGTTGTTGTCATTGCCAAAATTTCTCTTGAGTAGCAATTTGTTGTCGCCGATGTCTTCGTCTGTTGTTCATCGGCCATTGTGATCATCATCACTTGTTGTGGGGTGCTTGAATTCATTTTTGTGTCATCAATGTCTAATAATCGTCACGAATTCCAGAGATTTTAGCTTGGTTTAGTGTTGGTTCAATGGTTATTAGCCCAGTTTGATGATGGTTAGTATTTTCGGCCAAGTTCAATGCCAGTTAATTGGTTTTTAGCTTAGTTTGGTGTTGGTTTAAAGATTTTTCAGCCTGATTTAGTGCCGGTTCAAAGGTTTTCGACCTAGTTTAGTGTTCGCCTGGTTTAATTTTAGCGTAGTGTTTTCAACCTGGTTAACAATGGCTCAATGGTTTTTATCCTAGTTCACTATTGGTTTAGTAGCTTTCATCCCAGTATAGTGCCAATTTTGGAGTTTCAACCAAGTACATTATGCTTTTGGTGGTTTTCAACAGAAATTCAACCCTTTTTTGCTGATTCACCTCTGGCTCTACATAGTTTACCCTTTTTTAGATTGTTGCGATTGAATTCGTTGTTGTCTATGATTTGTTGTAGTATTATTAGTTGTGTTCGTTTGTGCTAATATTGTTATTATTGGTAAAGGTGTTGTTGTGTTTGCGCTTTAGGATCTTTATGTTCTTTCCCCCTTTATCCTGATTGATGTTTGTTATTGCTTGTTTTGGTGTAGTGATTAATTGTTTCTCTAGAAAACCAGACACATGTCCTCATTGTCGTGTCTTTGAACAACGAGATGTGCATCATGTCTTTGGGCAAGAATATAAGTATTCAAAATTAATGTGAGCATGTGTTTTGATTGTCGTGACCATTATTAATGATGACTAAAGTTTTTGTGATCATTGTTGCATGTCACTATTGTGGCATCTCTCTGTTAATCATTACACACTATTGTCGGAGTAGCAATCCCTATTCTTCTCATCAACATCAATGATGTGTTTGAGGGCTAGTTTTTTTGTAGTTGTTTGTATCACCACTTTTGTCAGCCTATTGTGTTGGTTGGTCGTCAACTTAGAATTGATAACTATATCACAAAAAAATATGTTCAACTCATGTCCTAGACTTCATATGGAGCAACCACATGAATTTGTTGCTCAGGGCAAGTATAGTGGTTGAAGTGTGTGCGATTAAAGAATTCCATACATGGACTGAAGCAATCACCAAGAGTTTTGTTTTATTATCCTTATTATTTACGTGGAGATATTGCAAGCCCGTTTATAAATTTGGTGATCAACTCCGTAGTACACCTACCAAACCATTGGCACAGAACACCTTTAGTAGTCTTTGTTCCAAGCTGGGCATTATTGACTCTCTGTAGCTTGAGGGGGGAGTGTTATAAGTGTTACTTTTCTATTATTCTTTTTTCCTATTAGGTTACTTTTTTATTGTTCTACTTTCCTATTTTGTAACTTTCTTATTATGCTCTATTGTCCTAATATTATAATATGATAATTTGGGGGTCAGTCTCTTTTAGGGAACTTAAAATGACTTAAATTTATCCCTTAAATATATTTGACGTTAAGACCTATTATTATATGTTTACTAATTAATTAAATCCAAACTTTTTTTAATACTAAAATGCCATTATTTTTAAGTTCAAAACAAATTTCAACGTGAAGCAGTTTCCAAAATGGGAAACCAGTTACCCCTTGATTCATGATCAATGGAGATCTGCCAATAAGAATTTTTTCCATAAAATTTGAAATTCAAAATTCAATAAGATTTTTTCCATCAATCACTCCTCTTTCTCTCTCACTATCTCTCCACCTCTCTCACTGTCTCTCCACCTCTCTCACTTGTCTGCCCTCTCAATTTACTCTCTTTCTCTGACTGTACCCAAATTCCCCCACCCCAAATCAACCACGATAACCTGAATTATTATGTTCTTGGGGATCTTTAATTAAGACAAGGTTTAATTATCTAAACTGTCAATGTGGGTGATTTTATCGTATCCAAACTTTGAAAAGGGTTCCGTCTTTAAGGCTAGACTCTGAGAGAAAGTGTCTATGTTAATGGGTGAGTTAGTTTTTGTGTGTGTATAACTTCGTTGCCTCTCCTCTCTCTGGCACTCTTTCCGTCAACAACTCTCACAGACCACGCGTTGAAGAGTGGACAACCATCGAAGCTGTTGACAGTGATTTCAATTTTCGTTAATTTTGATTTTAATTTTACGCATTTTTTATTTTCATACAATTTTCGTTTGATTCTGCTTTTCGAGTTGATTGTGATTTTCAATTTGATTTTATGCATTTTTGATATCATCTATTGTTTTTGGTTTTAAATATTATTTGTTTTTTGTTTAAATGTTAATATTTTTATTTTAAAAGGTACTATTTTCAATTTTGAATATTACTATTTTTTGTTTTTGAATATTACTATTTTTTTGTTTGAATGCATCATCAGCTGCCCATGTTTCTTAAAAATGCTCAGTGTGCTATTGCTTTGACTCCCAATTTTATTCAATGTTCCATGTATTACTTTACTAGTGATAAAAAGAAAAAAAAAACTTTACTGGTGAGCAAGTTATTGTTTTTTCACCTATACATCCTACACATGTTGCTTAAAAATGCTCGATGTGTTACTGATTTGACCCCCAATTTTGTTCAATATTCCATGTTACTACTTTTTTTGTTGAGCATGTTATCGATTTTTCGCCTATGCATCAATTGCCCCTGTTGATTAAAAATCCTCAAATGTGTTACTAGTTTAACCCCTAATTTTGCTCAATTTTCCATATTACTACTTTTTTTAGTGAGTATGTTACTGTTTTCTTGCTATGCATTATCAACTTCCCATGTTGCTAATTGTTCAATGGTTAATATTCAATGTTACTATTTTTTGTTTTGAATGTTATTATTTTCCAAAATGTTAATATTGAATGTTACTATTTCTTGTTTTGAATATTACTATTTTACTATTTATCTCATACATACATACATACATTCATTCATACATATATACATACATATATATATATATATATGAGATAGAAAAATAGTCCTAATCTGTATAGGTATATAGATAGATATGAGAGAGATAAACAATTTTAATGTTAGCAAAATTCTTAGAATTTAGGAGTTTTTAGTCTTCAATTTATTTTAATTAAATATAAATACAAGAGGTATTTTGAACCATTAAGATTAAAATGGACTTATTTTCAAACAAAGTTTTAGAGTGGACTATTCCCAAATAGGTCTTGAAAAGTGGACTGGCCCCCAAATTTTTGTATTATAATTGTCTTCTGTATCAATCTAAAATAAATAGGTGATAGGATATAGGTAATACTGATCCTATACAAAATATTGTTTCATAATCTCTTTATTCTTGTCTTCTTCTTTTCTTTCTTTTTCTAAAGCCTAGCATATAATTATTCCAGTTTCAAAACTTCCACATAGGGGAATTCAAGAAAGAGGCATGACAACACCATAATATTGTTAGTCCACCATAGAGATGGGGTAAACTCGAAGTTGACCTTAAACCTGAACCACATGGAATAGAGGGTACTTTTAGTTAACCTCAAGGGGTATTTATTTGTTTTGTGCTTTATAATCTAAAGTATGAGAAAAATGTAAATGGTGGAGCCCAATTAGGGATGCCAACTACTTTCCATCTTATGCCACAACCTGAAAGTTGAATCATTTCCCACCAAACCAAATGTTTTTTTGCCAGAAATTTAGAAGCTCCAAAGTAAACTAGCATCTACTAAGACTTAACTCAACTCAACTCACCTCACCTCAATAGAGCCTAGCATCCAATAATTTAAATGATGCTTCGTAACTTCATAAAATTCTATGCTATATGTTTATGATATTATCTGCCTTTATACTCAAGAAAAGTCCTGAAGAATTTAGTTGTCAATCCATGAAAATCTAAACAAGATGCGTTGACTTTAAAGACTACTTTTTATTTGATGTAATACTTCTACCCAACTTTCGAAAAATAAAATTTTGATACTTCAACCAGATTCAAGGATGGATTTTCAAATGAACAGAAATACCGCAAAGGATGTGTCAATGTCCACATAAAAGTTTATCTGACTCCAAAAGGATGAAACAGAATAGAATGCAGACAAAACAAAAAGATAAGTCTTTATTATACATACCTAATGTTCAGAATGAAAAAAACAACCCGCATATAAGGCGCAATCCTAAGTGGAAGTGAATAGAAAGCCACAGGAGACAGATAGAGAATATAGACTAATATATCAGCTGCCAAAATTAGCAGGAAAATGACCTGAAATTCAAAAAAAAAAAGGAAAAATGATCATAAGACTAATGGAGAAATTAGAAAACATATAAGGAAGCCAAACCCTTGACCAATCATCATTAATCAAGAAAGAGCCAGGAAGGCCAACTCAAGGACAAGATTAGAATAACAAAAAGGAAGTTTAATCCTCTGCGACCTAAATAACGCCTGTCTTTGCCATTTCTGACCGATATACAAAATGCTGAAGGTACCAGTCAAACACTCCAAGCAGTTCTTTATTTTTGTGTTTCAAAGAGGGAAAAAGTCAAGTTGTTGTCTAAGAGACATTTTAAGATCATGAGAATGCATTAGGTAGCTAATTCGTGATTTTTTAAGTTTTTGAGTGATCGTTGCATGCCTTTTTGCACAAATTTCTCTCCCACACACTTCAGTGCCTAATGCAAATTACTTAGGCAATCCATATCAGATGAACACCATAGTATATGTATGCTTAAAATGGAAAGCACAAAATTAACCAGTGCATGCAAAATTGTTTGTGGGTCAAAAACTGAACTTGCAATTAGATAGTAGAATGCTAGTAAGCCTATATGAACTTTATGGTTTATGTTTGACTGGAAGTCTGGAACACATTCCTGCATTTCATGACTTCAAAAATGATTAATGTGAAAGAGTTTAAAAATTATACCATCAAATGTAGTGTATTGAGGGAAATAATGATTGGTACAAATCAGTGTCTTATAACCTAATTATCTTTTATTGCTCTCATTCTGAGCATATCTGTTTTTCAGTAGACGAATGATATTCTATACAAGTGGGGAAAACAAGAAATCCTTCAGGATCAGACTCCAGAAACAAATACCTTCGATTTATTAAGAATACTTCTCCAGTAGATACTAAAGCCTTCAAATAAAATTGGAAAGAGAATGTGTATTGCGAGAATCATAAGAGTGATGCCCTGCATAAGAGAGTAAATAATCAATACCTTATGGGAAAAAGTAAGGATATGCAACTACCAAAGCTAAACCAGATGTACAAACCTTCAGAACACTTCAACCATCCATGGTGACACAGCAAATGAAAGTGCGATTTAACATCTAAATTATAGAACATCCACATGCACGCAAATTGAAAATTTCACCGGCTTTCAGTTAAAATTATGATAACCTCAAATGAAAGTAAACAAGCCACTCAATGATGAGATATAAACAAGATAAAGTACAATTTGATTTTCAAAAAGGGCATACTATATAAAGAATCCTTCAATACTAGTAGCTAGTGGAGACAAAAAATGCGGTGGAGAGTGCTAACCAAGCACAAGTGGAGAAAAGGAGAGCAAGTGGAAAAGGTAGTTGGATATCAAAGCACACGAATGAGAAGAAGGATGGACAAAGTCTGAATGTCACACTGGCATGTGGCATGGCGTTGGAAGATAATGACGTCAGAGTGAGAGTTTGCTAAGCATACAAAAGCTTTCTCCATGATGTGGTCAAAAAATGAGGTTTCAAATAGGTACTTGGTGCACCTAAGAGCCTTTGAAAATTTTGCTTGCTCACTTTCTTGCATTACTGGCATACAAGGTGGCTGTTATAACCAAACGGAAGAGCTTGGGGGAGCAGCACATCATTGTCTTTGCAGTATTGCTGGAAAAGAAGGAGTTAGCACAAATTTTAACAGATTGGCGTTACTAGAGATAAAGATGAAATTGTTCAAAGCATCCAACCCAAAACCAATTGGCAATGGGTAGAATGGTCCCTCATGTACATAACCAACCTTAGTGGTTCTAATCCTTCAATGTGGAATACAAGCCATCTTAACACCCTCCCTCACGTGGGACTTGGCTCGCATGCGGGGTCAACAAACAAACAAATAACTATGCATATGGGAAATTCAAATGGATAAGAGACTTGACCCACTGACCACTGCCCAACTCTGATACCATGTTAGAGTATCCAACTCAAAACCAATTTGAAATGGTTGGAGTGACCCCTCCTCAAGTATACAACCAACCTGGTCCTAATTATTCGATGTGGATACAAGTTCTTTTAACAGAAACATCTTCGAGTAATAAAAAAAAAAAAAAAACACACACTCACATACACATTAAAAAACTTATTTTTTGGTTTTGTGGAACTTTCTTTTTCTTTTTTTTTGTTCCTCTATTGATTATTGGGTCCTCCTAGGTGAGTATTGGCCACCCTTCTTATTGAATACTTCACATCGCCTTGGCATGTGTGTTGGATTGCTCCATATGTTTCTACTTAGAAGTAACTAAAAACATAAGATCCAGTAGCTGACCCCAAATTATTACCACCTGAAGCTTTATTGACTGGATAATTTATAGAATGCAGATCAACCATAATTAATGATCGCAATTGATACAATTTAGTAAGTAGCATCAACATCTACAAAAGGGCAACAGCAAAATACCTTCTTTTTTCATAAGCAACTAAAGGTTCGGGAATAATATATAGAAAGGAAAAGGGAAGCTCCAAAAATTACCCTAGTTGTTATGATTATTGTCCAAAATAACTGACTCCCAAACCACTATTGATGACCAAATAAGACATAGGCAGATACTGGCATGCAAATTGTACGCAGATTTTAAAATTCTGGGAACACTTGAAGAAAACATTTTAGCATATAAACTGACAAAAATAGAAACGATGAATAAAATCAACAAAAAAAAGCCATCCACTTTTGTTTCATTCACTTCTGTTTGCTGCCTATGGGTAGTAGACAAGATTTAAGGGTTGTGTGACAACACATATATGCCAATAACGATCAAAATTTTGTTCCAGTGTATAATTTCAGCCAGCTTGAAAATAAATATGTTTCGGAAACAAAAAGAAAATACAAAAAAAAAAATTAAATTTGTTTCCAAAACACCCTGAAACCTAGTAATTTCAATATTTAATCACTGATTCGTTTCTTTTGTCAAGTATTTGATCAATTTCAATTTCATTTCAGCCCTTTCAATGAAAATGAAATGAAATTTAAATCCTTGTATACCAATAACTGTGTTTGGATTCGATTTTACATCTTAAATCAGATATGTAGTATTCATGTTCAGCTCTATCCGGATCCCTATACCACAATAATACTCGGACTACAATGACATCTGATGCATCAAGATATCTCAATAACTGACAAAAGTGATAGCAAGTATAGGAATCAAATAAACAGTTTTTCTTTGCGCATATAAATTTGAAAGTTTCTTAAGAGCATTAAGCTAGTCAGATCTAAAATGTAATCACAAAGGTTCTTTACCAGCCCAACAATGACATATTAATGTTCATTGTTCCCTAATCATTGGCATTTCATACATATGTTTTCTGTATAAAACAGAGAATTTATCCCATGCTAGTAAATGAAATATCTCGTCTCCTCAAGAAGTTGGACTAGCTGTTCCTTTTCCTTGCCCAAGTCTCAGCACTTTTACCTCGTACATAAGAGACTCAGCCCCAGTTAGGTATGGCAGCTCTCCTAGATAGTAATACTCCCGATCATTGCATGGATAGGCAGAACCCTCGGAGCACCACAATGGTTTCTGTCCAGATTTAAAAAAACAAAAGATACTCAGCCATCTCAAACAGAACAAATTATAATGGCCAACAAGTTCTTTCTCACTTTTGTCTATAGGTTCAAATACAGAATATTCAAACGTGAAAAGTGAAAAATCATAAAATGAAATTGTACTAACCTCCAAGAAGTTTAGAACTATCAAGGCAAAATAATTGAGAGTCCAAATGAAATTGAATCGGATGAATATGAAGTAAAACTTTGCCAAGCTCTCAAAATTAGATTGCTCAAGGATTTCTTCCGGTAGACCAGTACCATCTTCCGCCTGCAAATGCATCCTAACCCATAAAGAACTGTGATAACTACTTCGAGCCCCGCCCCCCTCCAAAAAAAAAAAAAAACAAAGGAAAAAAAAATCCTGCCAAATAGGAGCTCGAATAAACAATCCAAAACAGTCATAGTAAAACTGGTGCTAGCTTCGTATCTATGACAAACAGAAGTCTCAAACTATAGTCAATGCATCTTGGCTGTACACGTAGCAAGCATAAGGTATACTCTAAAAAGTTGGAAAGCCAAACTAGTCAGTTGGCAGTGGGTTAAGAAGTAAGAAACAGCATACTGTTGATGGACTCAGAGCAATCACACCTACATGTACACAATGCGTGAGAAATTACAGCTTTTAATTCTATTGGAAGGACTATGAAACGGAATCAAATCCATCAACTACACAAACATAGGAAACTCGAGCAGGCATTGCTCACAATCCGGTGGTGATAAAGTCCACTGATATTGTAATACACTCAGAAAAATCTAGTAATGAGCATTATTTGAACTCCTAATGTAAACTCAGATCAACAGTTGGCACATGGCCGACGCTCAAATCAAGACTGCATAAAAGCCACCAAGAAACATCACAGAATCTTAAAATCCATACCATGTAAACCAGATTTGAAAATAATGCTGATGCACATTTCAAAAACCAATAATTTTTATAAGCTCTTTTAACAAGGGAAAATAGTTAAAGTATTCATTTCTTGTCACATAAATGTGAAATAACCACTATACATAAAGTCTGACCCCTGTATGATTGCAACTAGCCTCCACACAAAAAAAAAAAACCTAGATTAATATTGAGATACAGGGGTGCTGTGCATAAAGCCAGACATTGGCTCAGGAAAAGGCCCCATGTTTGCCAATCATAAGTATGGATACTGCAAGAGCAATACATAATGAGGCTATGCTTTATACATAGCAACATTCTGAGCAGGAGATTCTGTGCAAAAGGTCGTAATGAAGTTAGAAACATGGGTTTTCTAAGGCCAACCTTATTTTCGTCACACTCAACTGAACCCTGTTTTCATAATGGCATTAATAATCTCCCAAGTAACTGCCGTGTTATCAGAAGACCTACACCACGATAGACTCTTTCATCTGCGAGCCTTTTATGCCGCACTGTGAACTTGCAAACCAACTCTTGGAGGTATTGCTGAGTCCCTTCGATATAACTGCCCTTTGTTTCACCATGGTTCGTCACTGCCTGTGGGTCCTGTGCTTTACTATTGAATTCATTCCCTCCCTTCCAACCCAAATCAATAACGGTACCAGATAAAACAATTTTCTGTGAATCACTGAGGAAATGTTTCGTTTCAGCTCATTATTCCAATCCCAAACCTGACTCTCAACCAATATATTTGCAGGATCTCTTTGATGGTCCCAATGTGATGTCTGCACTTAACAACACAAACCTGACTAACAACTCCTCAGTACATCAACTTGTCCCCGATACCAACTTTGTCCCTAAATACCAACCAGAAGTGAAGGCACATAAAGGAATCTTAGTTTACACACTCCATAGTGACTTTAAAAGTTCATCAGAAAGACAAATCAAGCAAACAGTAATTATAAACACCAGAACATCATGTAATTCGCAAAAATTCAACAAAATCACCAATCCAGAGAAAGATAACAGCAATCATGCATGTGACAACACACACACACACATATGCACTTGACTTGATAATACGTGGACGAATATTTTCGAGAAGTGGACATACGAGATCCACCAGTGCTGCCGCTTTTTCATAAGAAGAACCATGAGCAATTGCGTCCAAGCGACTGTTACGGAAAGCCCGCGGATCTCTCTGCTGACCATACCTTCCACCAACACCGCCATTACTGCTTTCTCCGCCAAGCAGAGCTTTCTCCATCATTCTCTAGACAGAGAAGGATAACAGATATGCAGTGCGCAATATACAATACAGATCCGAATATAAGGAGAAAGAGAAGTTACTTATAGCAGGAAGAGTTGAGAGAGAGAGAGAGAGAGACAGACAGAGACAGAGGGGGGAGTAATAGTGGCAGCCAGGAAGGGAAGGTTTTGTTCATAAATAAGGAGTAATTCTGGTATTACAAATCAATAATAATAATAATATACTTGATAAGTAATTTTTTTTTTTTAACAATAAAAAAAGTTCGATGACATAACCGATATAGAATCCCTCATTTGGTGTGAACATACCAGCCCAGACATACGAGAGAAGTCCATCAATGAAAACCTAAATAACGAAAAATTATAAGCCTTCTCAAAAATCGACTTAGAATCATAATTTAATCCCGCACTATAGAGTTATCGGTTAAAACAATTCAATGATCTAATAAGTGAACTTACTAGTGTAAGGTATAATATTTATTAAAATAATGAGATCTATTATGCACATGATATATTTTTATTAATTAATAATATCACATGTCACCCATGATATAAAATTATTATTATAGTAAATATATATTTAATATTACAATTAATAAGTTAAATTCTTAACTTATAAAAGTCTAACAACGGTCAAAATTGATGTAATTTTTATGTATTTTGATCTAATAATATAAAATTTATCTAAAATAATTTTGTTTTCACTAAAAACATTATCTTCTTTACACGGTATCTAATGTCAAACGACTCAAAAAATACACTTTTCAATACCAAATAATTTCAATAATTCACTCGTATGTCCTTTCTCTCTCTACGATCTCTCTTTTATTTTTTCCTCATTCACTTTTATTTTAAATTATGAAAAAATTATATGATTAATGTTAAATTTTTGGTATTACAAAATATCTTCAAACATAAAATTATTGCTAATTTTCACATAAATGAGAAAGGATTCGTAAAACGAGACGTCGAAAAAGATTTGTAGAATAATAAATTAATGTTATTAGAAGTTAAAAAATTAACTTAATTTGCTATTGTAATGATGTGATAATAATAAAATTTAGTAATATTATTGTGACGATAATTACATTATTATTATGTTAAAAAATTAGGTAAGTATTTTAGTCCCATTAACATTAATCCGATGTAAAAATAGAGATTGTGATAAGTGTGAAAGATGCTTGTGCTTTGACTTGGAATCAATGTTACGACGCATGGATAAGACATTTTGGGCCCACTCAATGAAATTGGGTCATACAACAATCAGGACCTCACATAACATATTGTTGTTTAACACAGTTGGTTACATGTCCTCACTATTTTCTCTCGCACTTGTATCAATAGGACAATTATCAAAATTATGGGATTACAAAAATTATTTTTAATAAAAAAAATTAAGAAATAGTGGGCGCATTGAAGGAATTTGTGGTTTGTTGTTTGGGATATTCAATAGAATCTAAGTAGATCAAATCTTTTTTTTATTATTATTATTATTTTAATAAATCAAAAATTTTATAAATTACAATAAGAGAGAGAAAAAGACATGCTTAAACCTGATTGCTACAATAATATAGATATACTAGTTTAATTACCTTCAAATATAGCCTACTATAGTACTAGTTTCTTTGATTTTTTTTTTGTTCAAGATGGTCTACCATAAAATTGAGTAGGACCTATTTTATTCAATTAAAACTCTTTTAATATGGATTATTTAAAATTTAAAAAATTAAAAGGAATTTAATATTATAAGAAATTTGGTACACTAACCTTTCTTCCAACAATTAACTTGTCATATTTAGCATTGCCGTACTTGGTCGGCAATTATACTTTACGGGATAACAAGTAGTTAGTTACCTTCTTCCAAAATTTGGCATAATCCAATTCTAGATAAAAATATTCTAATTAAAGTGGAACTTGAAAGGTACTGTCGGCAGTATTGCGGGTGGTTGAAGTATCTTGCAATTCTTTTCGCATTTCACTTTCAGCATCTATGATTTTCACTTATCAACTCATTCACTTGTTAGATTTTTGTCTTTTTCTAACTTTTAGAAAGAGTCAGTGGAGGGAATATCAGAATTGTTCTCTAATTGCATCTCTTTTCTTCAGAGAATTATAAGGAAATAAAAAAAATACATAATTTTATTTTCACCCCCTCCTTGTTTAAAAATATAACACTACCCCTATCATTTTTATAATCAATAATAAATCGCCCCTAATTATCTACTTGATTTATTATATTGTGCCCTAAGTGGCGAACCACGTGAATCTTCTGTTGTTTTTTTTTTGTTATAAGGTGTTCAGAATTACGTCCATTACTCCCTCGAACTGCTGTTTAAATTGGGTTAAAACATGTCCCTAAAATAATAAGGGTGACTAACCTTTAGTGAATATAAAAAAAAAGATTAAACCTGAAACCTCTAAATTATCAAAGATCAGATTCAACTACTCAACAAATCCTCAAAGTGACGGAGTGTTCTATTAACACTAGTCTTGGTCTATTATAATTGGATACACTTGATTTTCTCAATATCTTATCAATTAAGAGGTCAATGAGTCAAATATTACCAAAGGTAAAAAGCAATTTTTCACTTTTCTAATTTGGGTTCTATTATACCCTATTTCAGAAATCTCTACACAAATATTTATTTTTTTGGAGAGTTAAATGTCATTATCTCTTTTAATAATTTAAATAGTTTTTAATAAGAATGAAAACATATTATCATAGGAATCCTCTAATTGCTTCCTACTACTAATAACACTATGTCTGAAAATACTTTGCAAAAAAAAATAAAAAAATAAACCTAGATCGTGTAATATTTAAAGTTTTATATAATAATTATTTTTCTCTTTAAGAGAGAAATAGTGGAGAGAGAAAGGAAAGACATGTGGATTATTGGAGTTTTCTAGTATTTTGGGTAATATAGAGAAAATAATATTTTTGGATGAATTTTATATTATTGGATCAAATTAATAAAAATTATATCAATCTCGATTATTATTATATATTTATAAATTGAGAATTTTATTAACTATAATGTTAGTCTTTTTTTTTTTGGGTTCAATAACTATATATTGTTAGTTAGATGGAGAGAAATGTGAATTCTTCCGGTGGAAATTGGAAAATCTTGTAATTATCCTTGGATGATCAATTCTGTCCACATAAAATAGATTCTGATTACAGAGGAGCCAGAGCTTGGATTCAAAGGCCAATCCCTAACGTGTGGTCGGCATTCAACCACATAAAGTCGGCATGTGGGGCCGGCCGGGTTTGGGGGAGAGGGGGTGCGTGGGTGGACGTGCGTGGAGTTGTACTAGACCGTGTCCAGGTGTACGTGTGAGTGTGAATGAATGATTGAATATTTTAGATTTGGGTAACACTACTGTACTGCGAAGCTACTTTTCGGTAGCTTTGCCTGTATGGGTGATACATGTTTTTTTAAATTTATTAAAATCGGTATAATCGGTTATTTTCGGCAGTAGTTATAAGACATGCACTTAATTAAAAGTTATACCATATTCGGGCCAATTGTAATCCATCATTAAACTTGTACCGAATAGAGTTGTACCCAATGACCCAATTATTAATATAAAGGAAAAATTATTTTACTTTTACTTTGCCTATATATTTTATTAGGGTGTCAATTTTTTGACTCGAATTGAACCCGACACGAATTCAGAAATTACACGATTTATTGACACAAGTAATAAATGAGTACTGTAGATAGAAAATAATTATTTAATGAGTATTTTAGATAAAAAAAATAAGAATTTTATAATTTTTTAAATAATATTTTATTAATCATTGTCAAATTAAATAATTTTTTATTAACACGACCGAAAGTAACACGACACAATACCGATACCACATCCCTATATTTTATCTTAAAAAAAATAATAGTTGTGGAATAAAAATATTAGTTGAAAGAACAAAATAAAAATATTGTTATACTTCATGGGTGTAAGTGTAATTTAATTAAGACCGGTCCCGGGAATGGAAGACCGATCCTGTATTACATATTACACTTTTATCTTTTAATATTATACTTTTAACCTTTTTATATTACACTTTTAACCTTTTAATATTATAATTCATCAAATTAACATCTAAAATCATTCAACAAATATTCAATTTATGACATCAATATCAAACATGCAATTTCATCCAATTAAAACTCAATTCATCAAATTTACACAAAATTAACATTCAATTTTCAAATTAACATTTAATTTTACTTAATAAACATATAATTCATTAAATTAACATTAAAATTTAACTAATAAACATTTAATTCGTAACATTCAATCTCATCTAATTTATATTCAAATTCATTCAATTCATAAAATTAACATCGAAAATTCTTAAAAAAAGATTTTTTTTTTTCAAAAAATAAATTGTATTTATAGAGAACCAAGTATATAAGGGAACACCCAAATGTACAAACCCAAAAAGCCAAACCCCCAAAACACAAGTTTGTAGGATGCCCTGATTGAAGGTATCCTCCATATGCAATCCAAAAGAAATAAACCAGTTGGGTCAAAATCCCAGCTGCAACAGTAAGCTGAAGAGGCTCCAAATAGGAATTAAATCACCCCAATGCAGCCTAACAAGCTAATCAACAGTCAGCATAAGAGGCTACATCGGGGAACAAACAACACGGACATCCCCTCCAACAGAAGCCAGATGCAGGGAAGCAAGAGAGGAAAAGCCATCCATCCTCCACAAAAACAGCACATGAACATGGTAAAGAAGCCAACAGATTAACACCATGAAACGCAAAAGGGATAAGGTTGAAGTGAGAAAGAGCGACCAACGAAGGCCAAAAGTCAACAAGAAGAGTAGAGAAGATAGGCCAGGAAAAATAGTCTCAAGCCTTCCTATGAGAATGTTGTGTCTACTATAGCAGCTCTGTCTTGAAGGTCCACCACAGGAGCCAGAGGAAACATAGCAAAGTAGAGACAGAGACATAATCCACATTATTGTCCCAGTAGAAAGCCATAGTAAAATTTACTTTTTTGAAGCATATTGTAAGAATTAGAAGTATGAACCACATTGAATGTAAGGAAAAAAAATTCAAGGCTTCAAAGACCAGTAAGCACAAAAACTGATCAGAACCCTCATCGCTGCCCTAATTTTAATGTTAATTTGATGAATTGAATATTTATTTGGATGAATTAAATGTTAATTTGGTATTAATTTGATGAAATTGAATGTTAATTTAATGAATTGATTGTTCACAAAAAAGGATCTTATGTTCACAAAAATATTAGATGTGGAATAAAAATACTGAATGTGAAATATAAGGAACAAAAAATAAAAATATTGGTATACTTCATGGGAGTAAGTGTAATTTACTTTATGATGAATTAGGACCGATTGTGGGAATAGGGACCGATTCTGGCTTAATATTACACTTTAATCCTTTTAATATTACACTTTTATCCTTTAATATTATACTTTTAACTTTTGATATTACACTTTTAACCTTTTAATATTGTAATTCATCAAATTAACATCTAAAATTATTCAATAAATATTCAATTTATCAAATCAACATCAAACATGCCATTTCATCCAATTAAAAGTCAATTCATCAAATTTACACCAAATTAACATTCAATTCTTCAAATTAACATTTAATTTTACCTAATAAACATATAATTCATTAAATTAACATTAAAATTCAACTAATAAACATTTAATTCGTAACATTCAATCTCATCCAATTTATATTCAAATTCATTCAATTCATAAAATTAACATGAAAATCCTTAAAAAAAAAGTTTTTTTTTTAATGGATTGTATTAAAAAATCAAATTACACCTAATTACATGAAATAAAATAAATAGAATAATAGAAGCAATGCATGCATGATACAAGAATTAAAGAAATAATAAAATTATAAAGCATGATCCTTCATGTCACCTAAAACTTAGCTTATAATATGGCTGCATTAAAAGACACCCGTGAATGCTTGATGAGCTGAGAGCAGGAGTTTGAGCTTGGAGCTTGAGCTGAAAGCTTAAGCTGGATGATTGAGCTTGAGATGGAAGCTTGGTCTGGAGGCTTGAGGTAAAACTGGGAGTTAGAGTTGAACGTTTGAGCTTTGAGCCTGCTTATCAGAGAAGAAGCTAAACAGTCTTATAGGTTGAGAAACCTATGAGATAGGGCAGTTGAACAGACGCGTGAACGAAAGAGACCAAAACACAGACTCTTGCATTTTCGATGAGAGAAACAACCTCTGAGAGATCTTCTCCCTTTGAGCACCTGCAAAATAGAAAATTTCTGTCTTTTATCCAGAAGCATGGTAGAAGATGAATATCCAGCATGAAAACCAAGAGACGTGGTTAAATATTGGAGGATGCAGAGGGAATTCTTCGTGGAGTGCTAGGATATAAAGGCATATGAACAGTCCTGTGCTTCCAAAGACGTCTGTAAGTGTATATTCACAATCCTAGTGTATATTGAATGCTATTTTTGGATTAAATTATAATATAAATATTGGTGTGTGCGTTAGGAAAATTGACCTGTGTTTTGAGTAAATTGTATTTGGAAGTTCTGTTAGAAGTTGTGATTTCTAGATTTGTTATTGCTGGTTGTATTTTTAAACTGGGCTTGTATGGGCTTTAAAATCCACTGGGTCAATTTCGATTGAGAGTTGGGGTGTGTGGACGTTTGTTTATGCTCTATGGATGAAGGGTGGATGTGATGAGATGAATGGATGTGGTTAGTGAGGGTGAGAATATTTTTTTAAGGCATCATCCAAAGTTGGTGCTTGTGGATTTGCTTGGAAAAACATCAGGCATAGTTAAGTGCGTGGTAACATGTCCAGGTTTAAGTGGTGAACAGCTCTAGAGAAAATGGCAAGAATAAAAATGAAGAAGCTAAGGCAAAACGATCATTAACACTTAAAAAAGTTTGCATTTTTTGGTGAATTTTTACCAACACAAACATTGAAAATCTCTTGTTTCTCCATAGAGTGAGTATAGCATTTATCACAGAGCTTACACGATCGATTAATTGGACCGAGTTCTCTGTTGACTACCTTTACCATCACCCTTCTAATGTTGTTGTTGAGCAAATCTTAACAATATGTTCTGGTCCAAAATGTTTTGGACTTGCACAATGCTCTTCTGAAATTAGCTAATGTCTTTGCACAAAGCTCTTTTGGTCCAAAATGTTGTTGTGCAGAGCTTGTTTAATAGATAATGTCTTTACTCGAAATTAGCTACATAGAGTTTGGAGTTAACTACGTTTGTTGTTTTGTATTTTTGTAGAGGAAGGTCTACCCTTATTTTGCTGTGTTGGTTGTGATATTAAGAAAAGTATTAAAAATTTGGTTTCATTTTGTCAAAAGAGTATGTTTTTATAGCAGTGTCTTTGATATATGACTTTTGCCTATTGGAATGCTGAGTTATATGTCTCTTTTCAACTTTAATTTTAAAGTGAAAATTATTAAACTAACAAAATCATTACCTTTTTATGCTTCTATGTATAACCTTGATCAACAAATGGATCTTTCATATTTTTATATCTCTGTATGATAGCATTACTTGTGGAATCAAAGTGAAATTCTTGGTTTCATTATCTTATATATGACTTTGTAGTTTAGAAAGATGAATAAGAGGGTTAGAAATTGTATAATCACTATTGACATAGAATCATAGGCTTTGGTTTGTTCAAACCTTAGACTACTCATTCTTGTTAACAAAAGAATTTCAAGTACAACAGTATTTGAAACTAGGAATCAGTTTCAATAAAAATGTGATATAATCTTTATCATATTAAAATTCAATTCATCCAATTAATATTAAATTTATTAAATTAACATTGAATTCATCAAATTAATATAAAAATCATCTAATAAAGATATAATTCATCAAATCAACAACAAAGTAATATTCAATTTAACAAATTAACAATGTCAGCTAAAAACATTTAATATTCAATTCATCAAATTTAAACCAAATAAACATTCAATTTCATCAAATAAACTTTTTCAGGTTTTACTTTTTTTGAATTGAGTTATAACTTTTTAGGATGAGCTCTAATGGTTGGGGAAGGGTTATAACTTTTATGGTGAGATTTTAACTATTGGTTATCTGGATAGGGTTATAATTTTTCAACTTTTTTGAATTGAATTATAATTTTTGGGGTGAGGGAGGGGTTCCAACTTTTTTGGTAGGGTTTCAACTTTTTTTGTACGGGTTTCAACTATTTTGGGGTGAGTTTCAACTTTTTTAGATAGAGGTTCTAACTTTTTTGATAGAGTTTCAACTTTTTTGGGTCAAGGTTACAATTCTTAAGGGAAAGTTCCAACTTTTTTTGAGGTTACAACTCTTAGGTAGCGATTTTTGTTTCAATATTTTTGAATTGAATTATAATATTTTGGGTGAGTTATAACTGTTGGGGAAGGGTTCCAAATTTTTCAGTTTCAACTTTTTGGGTAGGATTTCAATTTTTTTGGGTGGGTTCTAATTTTTTTGGGTAGAGGTTCTAACTTTTTTGGTAGGGGTTCCAACTTTTTTGGGGTGGATTCCAACTATTTTGGATAGGAGTTCTAACTTTTTTGGATAAAGGTTCTAATTTTTTTGGTAGAGGTACTTGGGCGAAGGTTCCAACTTTCCAACTCTTGCGGTTTCAACTTTTTGGCTTAGTTTCAATTATTTGGTAGGGTTCCAACTCTTTTGGGTACCTTCTAACTTTTTTGGTAGATGTTCCAATACATGTGAGGGTTGCAACTTTTTTGGAGGTTCCAATTTTTAGGGTAGAGGTTTCAAATATTTGGCTGAGGTTTTAATTTTTTTAATTAAATTATAACATTTTTGGTGGGTTTTAATTGTTGGGGAGGGTTCCAACGTTTTCGGGTTCGAATTTTTTTGTAGGTTCCAACTTTTTTTAGGTTGGGATTCCAACTTTTTTATAGAGGTTTCAATTCATTAAGACCGGTCATAGGATCACTGGACCGATCCTGTGTATATTACAATTTATCCCTTTCATTTGGCACTTTTATCCTATGCTTAAAGAAGAAAGCGATCCTCCATTCCATAGGAGCTGCGTGTCTCAGGCAGATTAGGAAGGGAAGAGCAAGCGACCCTAACTCCAAAACCCTAACCCTAACTCTAAAAAGCCTCCAAAACGCCTTTGATTTCAAGCATTCGAAATCCCTTTGTTTCAAGAAGAACAAGTGATTGATTTAAAGAAGACCAAGAGATCGATTTCAAGCATTCGAAATCCATTTGATTTCAAAAAGAACAAGTCAGCCAATCGACCGTTACCAAACCCTAACTCCAAAACGCTTCAAATCTCACTGCAAGTAAGTATTCTATAACATATGAATGTGTGTAGTCATTTCATATTTATTTTCTTGAATGATAGATTTATTATGTTTGATTGGGTATGTACCTGTTTTCTCTGGTAATGTATCAGAACAACGTTTGAGGTTGGAGAATTCAACAAAACTTTTGATGGAAACAAAGAAGAAGAGGAAGGCCGAGGGATAGTATCGGCCAAAAGTGGATAATACAGCTAGAATTTGGCAAATGAAGAATAAGCAGGTTGGTGATCAATCCTGTCCAAAACCTCCAATGGTTCATTCCTCTGGTTGTCCTCGTGCAAAACAAAATAAAAATGATGATCACTCCTCCTCTCTTCCAAATTTGGTAAGTTCATCCAACCCAAATATGGTAAGTTCATCCATTCCAACTTTCTTCAACAGAAATAGTGAAGAGTTTTATCATAATAGGTTTTGTCATAAGCCTATGTTACTAGAGCGTGGTGCTCAGTTGGATAAGATGACAGATGTGGACTGTGCTATTATTTTTGGTTTTCGACATTGGAATTCTATAGTTCAAATAGATAAGAATGATAAATCATATGATGAATTAGTGAGGATATTTTATGCAAATATGCATGATGTTGAGAAGGAAGATTTGAAGTTTAAATCTTATATGAGGAATGTACGTTTTCAAGCGAACCCGGATTTGATTTCAAAGATATTGAATGTTCCTTCACCCTTTGTTGTTGAAAATACTTTGACATACCCATTCAAGAATCTCAGTGATCAACCTGCCCTCGCGAATGTTGCAACAAAATTTTATGGTAGACCTTTTAATCTTAATGTAATATTAATCTGAGAGGACACAATGCTAATTTTGGACTTGATAGAGCTCATCTACTCTATGTCATTGGGAAGGGGATAACTATAGATCTCTCTCGTCTAATATTTAATGAAATTGTTTCTGCGTTTGACCTTGGATATAGGCGAAAAAGTCTCTCATTCCTCATCTTAATTTCAAAGATCATGATGCATTATGGAGTTGTCATTCACCCAACTGACAGTTATAAGTCCCCTATGAGTTCATTTGATGAATACACATTAAAAAAGAGTTTGGGGCAAACCGATTCATATAATCTAGATGATTATGATCCCAGGGCAAGTACTTTAGGTTCAGGGGATATTGTACAAATGTTTAAACAGCTTTTGGTAAATCAAGAGGAGATGCAACAAGAAATGAAGGAGTCTCTGGAGCAGCTACGTGAAGACACAAAAGAGTCTCTCAAGTAGCTTCGTGACGACACCAAGGAGTCTCTTAGGCAGCTCCGGGAAGACACGAAAGAGTCATTGAAAGAGTTGGAGAATAAATTGTTAACTCAAGAAAAAAATGAGTAATACTCTTTTTTAGTTATTGGATTGTAGAAAACATTTTAGTTGTTCAATTGTAAATTTTACTATGTAATTTTGTTGATGGTATGTAAATTGAAAGTGGATGTTATGGTAATTTGTTGATGGTATGCAAAGTGGATGTCATGGTGTTTTGTTGATGCTATGTAATTTCACAGTGGATGTCATGGTGTTTTGTTGATGCTATGTTTGTAATATAATCCTAGAACACACACAATACAGTTGGTTTCTTGATGCATGTTGAGTAGGAACATACTTTTGCCATTCAAAAAGGAGTCCAATGGTCTTCATCTTCATATGTTGGCAAGGGTTGTTATGATCTACCAGGCTATGAGAATGGCATCTTGAGCACCGGTTCTTGTGATTGTGATGCATGAGGAAAATAATGGAGATTGTGTGGTTGGTGCGATTCATCCACATGTGAAAACGGCATGTTCCCATATGGATCATTCAAATGGGGTGTAAGTAGTGGACATTTTCTAACGGTATGTCTGATACCCCTACATTTATTGCACCTTCATGGGGTAATTGAAATGTTCTTTCGCACTCGTCCTGGATTTACCTTATTCTTCACAAATTTTGGGTCACCCACGCCAAATTTGCCATTTTTCACATTCATGTTGAAATTGGATATTTGAGACTCATCATAACCTCTAGTTGTTGAATCGTGATGGGCTAGTAGAGCAGACGTTTGCTGATGCACCATATTTCTCACGTCGTTTGTTTTTGACATTGACTGTGAAGCATAATAGCACATTCTGCTGCACATAGACATGAGTCCAATATATCTTCTAGAAACTGATGGGAAACTCAATGTATGCAACACATCATTTGTTTGATAATCAAATTTTGCAGTAATTGTCCACCTTTTCATCACAATGGTAGGAGGAAACTCTTTGAGGTGCTCACACTTCATGATGACAATCGTATGAGAGCAGGGAATCCCCATAGATTCAAATTTCATGTAATTACATTTAAATGTATGAATGCCAGGATAATATTGCACAATCCACCTAGATTCAGGTTGTGTGAACCGGGACAAGTAGTAACTACGATGTGTTATGCTTTCAATTTTATCCACTACAAAAAATAGAGCTTCATCCTTCAATTGATCACGAACTTTGAAGAACATTTTTCTGGTATATATCTTGAAAGCTTTCTCCTCTAAGCATTTAAGTGTTGTTGTGAGCACTGGCTCGGAGTGTTCTGATTCATAGTTCTCATTGGCCTTGGCCTTTCTGATTCTTGCCCAGCCCCTATCATACTGCCTAATAAACTCAAACAGTCTTTGACATACTTTTAGGAACCGATTTAGGTATTCATTCAAACTTTCAGATCGTTGCGTACTTGTTTGTCCCGCAAAAAATATCCCCCATAAGTATGCTTCGGCCCATTTGAATCTCTTTGCATTAACTTCAGCAATTCAATTATTAGTCTCTAGGCCAAATGATTCAACCATTGATTTCCACAAATCTTCAAATTCTTCCGGTGTACATCGAGTGCACATACATCTCTTGAATGCTTGGACAAATTTTTGAAATTTATATTTGTGAAAGCATTTCGGGCCAAATGCCACCTACATAAGCGGTGTGTTGCCTGTGAAAATATTATTTATATTGCAGCAACCATTGTTTTATCCCCATTTGTAATAACGAAGATCGACATTTTATTATCCATTGCATGAAGAAAAGTAGATAACATCCACACATATGTTTCCACAGTCTCATCTGAAAGCAATGCACAACCAAATATACTTGTAGCATTGTGGTGATTGACACCTGCAAATATCACAAATGGTTTCTTATAAACATTCATTCGATATGTAGTATCAAACGTTAGTACGTCAAAACCAAAACACTTGTAGTATCAACCGATTGTGGTTGTTGCGTGTATTACAACCTTTTGGGGATGATTTATTACTTTATTGGGTTGTGTTACAATATTTTGGGTTGAAGTTTCTACTTTTTTGGATTGAAGTTTCAACTTTTTTGGGTTGACTTTATTAAGCTTTGGTAGATCCACTTTGAACCCACCCAAAAAGTTATAACCCTATCTAACAAAGTTGAAATGTCACCAAAATAATTTATCCCAAAATATTATTACACTAATTCATAAATGTTGGAAGCCACTTTAAAAAGGAACTATTTTTGGGAGAGTTCCAACTGCTGAGTATGGTGTTCCAACAGGTTACTGGATTTGGTTATAATATTTGGGTTAGGTCCAACTTTGAAGGATTTGGTTACAATTTTTGTAGAGTGAGGTTTCAACTTTTTGGTTGCTTTAACCTTTAGTAATAGTGGATCCTAAATGTGGGATATGATGGAAGAAACTGAATTTTTTTCAAAAAATTCAACTATTTTTTAGGCGGAAACATATCCCGCCTATTTTTTGTTAATAAAAACAGTTTATATCCCAAAAGTTTTTGTATTCTTATTATATTTTGTCAAAAATTATAATTCTTATAATACTATCAATTACACAAAAGTATTAACAATCTAAAGAATTGCGTACAACATATTTTAATCTTAAGTTGCAATATAAAAATATTTATATTTTAGGGTGTAAAGTAAAAAAAATCAATTGACACAAACACCCCCAAAAGACCCAATGTCTCTCACTCCTTCCGCTTCCACACACAAATTTTCTTCCTCTCTCCCTCTCCTCCTTTGATCTGTCTCCCTCTACCCATCTCCGTGTCTTCCTTCGATCTATCTCCCTCTACCCATTCTTCCAAGAATTAATTACCAGGTATGCACGTCTGTCACTATATGTGTGTGTATGTATCACCCATCTCCTCTCTCTATCGGCTCCCATTGAAACCCTAACAAAAACCCATCTCTCTGTCTCGGCTCCCATTGAAACCCCAACGAAAACTCATCTCTCTTGGCTCCCATTGAAACCCCACCAAAAACCCATCTCTCTGTTTCCAAAATATGTGTGTTATATTTTCTGATTTTGTGGTCTCTTAGAATTTTTTGTCGGTGATTAGGGTCATTATCTGCCTGTTAATTCCTTCAAGTGAGACGCAACACACAACAGGTAAATATACATCCCCCTCTCTCTATTTAGATATTACTTGAAGACCCAAACTTCTTTAATTTTATATATCCTAACTTACATATACTTTTCGTGGGTTACAAGTTGTTTGGGTGGTTGGTTACAAGTTTTCGGAGTGGTGGGTTACAACTTTTAGGAGTTGGGGGTTACAACTTTTTGGGATACTCAATATGGTTTAGATTGTGTTACAAGCTTTGTGGATTAGGTTCCAACCTGTGTAGATTAGGTTACAACCATTATGCCTGCTTATGTTTGATTAAGAACAGATTTCTTATGGCTGCTTATGGTATGATTTTATTGTTTATGACTTCTTACTTATTAGATATATGGTTAAGTTAATATGTAAATGATTTCATTGTGTTTCTTTTATGTGTGTTGTTTACTAACCATGAGAAAGGTAAATTTGGTAGGCCATTTGTTTGTGGAATACAATTACAACAATGTAAGTACTTCTTGTTGAAATTTTTGGGATACTCAGATTTTGTTGTATTAGGTTAACAACATAGTGCATTGAATAAGACAAAGAAGAGGCAAATTGGACATCAAGTGGAGCATCAAACGTGCAAAAGGATTTCATCGCCAATGAGTGCAACCTCTAGTACTTCAGTTAAAAAAGTTAATAGTAAACTCACATTTCTTTTACGCATTACATTCAACAATTTTAGTATTTAATTGTAATACTGTTGCACACTTTTGCATAATAGACTTGCAACCCGATGCTCACCCCAAAAGGTAGTAACCTTAATTGAAACATTATCGGCTGAACAGAAACACGGGGTGACAGAAATTGGATTGGGGGGCTTGTTAAGTTTGAAAATTCACAGTGTTAAGAGGGGGCTTTGATGGTGGTTACTTGAACAATTTGATCCAAATACTTGCTTGTTGAACGTATTCAACAAATCCATAAAATTTTGTCCTGAGGATGTGGGGTACATTTTGGGGTTGCATTGTGGAGGGGATGATTTGGAAACCAGTGGATCTACATCGAGAATAACTGATGTTACGAATAAAATTTTTGAAGGAAAAGTTCTCTTGTCAACAATTGATATCGAGAAGAAAATAAAGAAAATGAAAGAAGCTTCTCAACAATTTCGGCGATACTTTGTGTTGTATATTATTGGAGTTTTCCTGTGTCCATCACTGAAAATTAAAATTAGTAAGCACTTTCTTCCCATTGTTGAAGACTTGACATCTTTGAAATGTAAGAATTGGACAAAGTTTGTATTTGAGTAAATGATTCAGGCGGTACGTGAGTACAAAATGGCTCCCCGCAACAGTATCAGGGGTTGCATTATTCTCCTCATGGTGATGTATTATAGTCACTGCTTATTTCCTTCTAATTTTGGTTTTACTTACCCATAATTAGTTATTTGTTGTCTGCTAACTAGATTTTCTTCTTTGAACACGTCACACCTATGGGGGAGAATCTGGTTGATTTGACATCACGACCATGCCCCTGCAGTGGAGAATGAGATGACATAAAAATAGGTGTGCCCCTTGTGCAGCTAAAGGAGTTAGGTGGATATAAAAATGACAAGGTAAGTCATTTGTATCATATCATTACAACACATCATGGATTATTTAGTATATTAATGAGATCTAACATTATTTTGAAATGTATATTGCATGGTTGATGTAGATTAAGGTGACGGTTAATGATGTGTGTTAGCATCGGCTATCAACTAATGCATGCGTCAACATAGAAGCAGATGTATGTTTATTACTCAACACCTTATTATTGCTACCATATGTTTTACGCAACACCCAATGTAGATTGTTCATTTGTTCACAAATTGTTCTTTTGTTCACATATTGTTGATTTTTTT